TCTACGCGATGTTTAATCACCTAACGCACACGTTCTCATCTATTATCTGATCTAGATTTGCCCTGCGTGACGTTCTTATCTGACCAGCTTATCTAAAATTCAATAAAACTCAAAGGATAAATAATATCACCGCGACGTTTAATTTGTTTCAAGTCCGTAGTAAAATTTTACTCTTTTCCAGCTTATACTGGCTGTACAAGATTCAGACGGAGTAGGATCTTTGTTTGTATACACCGTCTGCCTTGTAGAGTAGAGACTTGGATACACAATCCGTTGTTATAGAAAGTTCCACACAGGATTACAAGAACAAAATGGAAACGTTCGAGGCATATGACGAGTCTATGGTTACCGCAGCAAATTATCAGTGTGACATTGTTCAAACTGTGAACAATCATGCGCCTAAGGAAGAAATAGAAGTACGGAATAGAGAGAATCATGATACGTTAACGTTGCAACAGCAACAGACGGAGCAGATGCATCAAGTGACGCAGATTGAGGCGAATATCCAACAGAAAGCAACTATTCGATTGCCTGCTTTATTGGATGGAGAGTACTTCCAGGTGATCAGGGTGGAAGACACTAACGTTACGGTACGTTGTCAGCAGTGCATGAAATTGCTCAACGGCAATCTGAAGTCCACTGGGAATTTTCTCAGTCATGTAAAGGTAAACAAATTATTAGATACTTTGATAGAATTGTCTATGCAGATTGACAAGATGAAAAAGAGGCTTCTTGATGTAAAACTATGAAGATGAGAGGGGCCAGTGAAAGCCTAAGCACCGATTATTGGTGTTTTTTTTATTTCTTACTCTTACAAGGGATTGTTATACCTATCTAGATTCGATTCTTCTTGAAATATGTTGTTAAAAAAAATCTGAGATATATTTTTATATGGATCCAATCTCAGATTTAAGAGGTGAAACAATCTCTTAAAGTTTAATGGGGAGGTATTTTTAATACATTAAATTTTTGAAAAATATAAATACACAGTTATAGTATATAACCAAAAAACCATAAATATTTTGTCTAAAATATTTTTCTATACATCTTACCGTTTTGCTGATAATTGACTATAAGCATTATAACTTTAAAGGATTGTTTCATCCCTTAAATCTGAGATGGAGAAATATAAAAAAATACGGATTTCTTATATTTTGTGCTTAGCATATTTCAAGAACAATCAAATCAATTTCGAATGATTAATAACAGTTTCTTTGTTTAATTTTATTTATTATTTTGACGATAATTTTATTATTTATTTAATTTTATTTATTACTTCAGCCGATACTTACAATTGTACAATTAATCATTCGTCGACAATGTGATACTTCATCCACTATCTGGATCTTCGAACTTCAGTACAGATTTTTTATATAGTTTGGACTGTACAAAAATTTAAAGAAATTCTTAAAATAAGTCTTTACTATCACAGAAATTAATCATACTTTACTTATTTTTTATAAATTTAAATTTGTCTGTTAGAATTTACGATAAAAAAATAAAATTCAACATTGCCGGCAGTGAATTAATTATAACGTCAGTAACTATACTTAAAGTCTCTCTCAGGTTGAGCTTTCTTTTAGCATTATAGATTACAATTTGTTTTTAGATAGAGAAATCTATTTTCGTAACAGCCTTACTTTTGCAGCGATTGCATCCCTCTTTGATGTCCAAAATAAGGTGCAAATCTAGTCAGAGGAAACCCGCGATATATGTCAACTCAACGTTACCTGATAAATGCTCCGAAATAGTGCCGGGAAAACGTGCAGCGATACAAAATAAGAAGCGCTGTAAAACGGTAAGCACTTAATTTTTGCCATGTAATTCAACTCGATCTTGCCATCCTAAAAAAATTAAAAAATAATAAGTTACTATATTAGAAAAGAGGATTAGTAATTAATTATTAAAAAATTAATTTTAGGTAGAAATATATCTGAAGGTATACTTAAATATACGACAGATGAAAATTATTTATTTTAAACATATATAATATATTTATATTTCTTAAACGTTTAAATTAATTGCGCTTGGCCTTTCTCTTATCTATCTCGATTTTGCATCAAAGAGTTTTCTTCTCTTTGTTACATTGTAATTAATTTAATGTATCTACAAGCAGGAGGAATGTACAGCCGAAAAGAACGAATCTTACGAACAACATGCGGATTGGAACGACACATCGTTAATCCGGGGATCTGACGAGTCGGAATCGGCGGATCCATCCCTAAGAATATCACATAATAATTCATTTATAATGGAGGACGAGTACGATGCAATCGGTCGCAACGTTGCCGCCAAGCTCAGGAATATGAGACTGGACCAAAGAATAATAGCTGAGAAATTGTTGAACGACATTTTATTTGAGGCTCAGCTCGGTAATCTTCACAGAGATTCGAGTATTCACGTGTGAGAATAAAATGTACAACGACCTGGGAGTCGATATTATATATCTTCTAGTAAATATCGCGAAAGAATTCGATTTGGCGAAAAGCGACGTGATATGTGATTAATACAGTTATCTGATTAATTATATAACGCGCATGTTGGTATGTATGTGTGCGTAAAGATTGCGCGCTTGTGAATGAATGGACTTTCGTTAATATTAGCGATTATAGCCTTATTGAAAGACGAATACTTTATACTTTTGTGATATATCTTGTAATCTTCTACGTGATCGTCCCGAGATCATTATATTTGGATTTTCAGACGAAAACGAAAAGTCTAATTATTCCGATAAATTTGTATCAGATTAGGATTAAGCCTCCTTCTTGGGTAGCAATACAGCCTGGATGTTCGACAAAACACCACTTTAGGCAATTACTTCAGACAACAGCTTATTCAACTCCTCGTCATTACGGATGGCGAGTTGCAAGTGACGCAGGATCCTAGTCTTGTTGTCATGAGCGGCGTAGCCAGCCAACTTCAAAACTTCAGCGGCCAGACATTCCATGACTCCAGGTAAACCGGTGCATTAGTTCAACGCAATTTCCTTCTCTCAGATCAATACGACTCACGGGGAACTGCAATCCCTATTAAAACAGGATTTTGCCTTTTCCTTGACTTCCCCACTCATAATGATTTCAGAGCGATATACATACAAGCGTACATTGAACGCTCTTTTATATATATATATATATATATACATCACAGTCAAAGCGTAAAATTTAATAAATGTATATACCTATATGCATTTATATTATATAAATGTAAGATTTTAGCAAAAATATGAAAGTTTAAAAATATCTGCTGGTATGCACACTACATGCTAAGATTACGTGTGTATGAATATTTTTACTGACAAAAGTATTCAATTCAAATTGATGCATTTTTTATTCTACATACTTTTACTAAATTATGTGTGAAAATATATGCATTTATTTAGTAAAGGTAAATTTCATTGCTTGTAAATACATTTATTTATCAAATTAGTATTCCAGTAAATGAAAATGATTTAAAATGGATTCAAATTTTCAGAAATACAGATTCATTAATGTTAAGCTCGATTGCACCAACGTTACTTTGATTTTAAGCAAAGCTTAAAACTCTCTTTGTCTCTGTCTCTTTTTCTTTAAAAAGGCAGAGAGAATGAATAATACATTTACTAATTGAAGAAGTGATATAGCGGGTAAAGTAGAAGATTCATAATCCAGAGGTGCCAGGTTCGAATCCCATTAAGGTGCATTTTTTAATATTAATTTGAAGTAGTTATTTTCAGATATAATTATTATAAATATCTTAGGAATAAAATTTATAACCCTTATATAAATATGGTATTTTTTTTTTTCCGAATATTAAACTAGTGTCAGCTCGGATTCATTTCAATCCATTCATTTTCATGGATTTAAAATACGCATTAAAAAAATTTTAATCATTTACTGGGATGTATATATATAAATATATATATTGACTACATGTATACATGTGTATATTTACTAAATTAACACTTTGACTGTAATTATATATGTAAATGTACAATACTGTAAATATTTCCGCGTAATGTAAAATTGTCAAATAATGAAACATGCTGCCTAAAATATTAGATTGGTACAAAAAGTTTATCAGTTTTTTGGAAATATTTTTTAAAAATAAGATTATACATTTTTTGAAAAGCACCAAAGAATTTTCTTAGATGAGGAAAATGTAAGGTGACTACTTTAATTAATTTTTAATTAATCAAGTGTGGAATGCACTCCATACAAAACATAATAACTTAGATATCCATTTGATATTCTCGATTGGTATTAGATTTCCATGAACATCTAATAAACATTAGACATACTCTACATATGCAAATGTGCGCGACTCAAGATCTCATGAATAGGACATCTAAGCCGATGTCCACTAACATCCATGTCATATCTAGTAGATCTTTATTACAGATATCTTTTGCACATATATGTATGTATGTATGTATGTATGTATATATATATATATATATATATATATTGTTCAGATTATGGATACATTGATACTTACTTTATGGATATAATGTGGATAACATGTCAACATCCAGCAGATATCCACACGCTGGTTACTCGACAGACATAAATAATATTTTATATAGCTTAGATATCTAAATTATCCACTGATATGAACATATAAATACATGGATATCCACTGGATATCTATTATATATTTTGTTCTGTGGGTATAGTGGCGTTAAAATAATGTTATATTTTCAGACAAGAAATAAAATTATAATAAATTTTATCCAAAAACCTATAATATTAAAACAAATAAATCCTCTCGTCTCTTCTGAAAGTTAATAAATCAATTCGAACTCTCTGTACGCAATAGCGTGTCTAACAATAAGTCTATTTGGCAAGTACAGGAAATTTTTGCACCAATCTAAGGATAATTACGTCTACAAATTTTTTCTATACTAATCATATTATATATTCTATGATTAGCATAAGACAGTCAATTGTAATATATAGCAATAGCTATATATAGATTTAATAAATGATATATAATTTAATATACTTTTGTATAAAACATTTTCGAAATGTCTGAACACCGAGAGGTCTAAAGCTTTATCGAAAATCGAAAAAACATCTATAAGGTGTGAATAAAGTATAGAAAGCCGCCAATGCCTAGAAGATTTTTGTCTCTTCTGAAACTTTCAATTAATCTGTTAAATGTATATCTACAGTTTATTTACACGCCTTGTTACGGAACTAAAAAAGCGGAAGTACGATTTTCACAATCAGAAGACTTATCTGAAGGACAGTGCCTCCAACGATCGTCAGCTGCTGTAAACTCTGCGTTTCTTTGGCTTGAACATTACGTAATATACCGCGGATGAGAGGATGCAGAGCATCATGCTGCCAAGGATCACCCAGAATATGTAAATGTACCAGAATCCGTTCCAGTCGGCGTTCATATACCACGCGAATGTGAACGCCACGTTCTGCACGATCACGAACACATAGTACGGCAGCGTGCACCAGTCGGCATATTTGAATTTGATCCGATACTCGATCAGGCTGAATATATAAACCAGGCCGAGCCAGAGGTTGACGACGAGCGTGATAATGTCGTAATACTTGGAGTAGTAAAACAGGTAGGCCAACATGATAACGTAGTGCACGCATATCATTGTCACCACGGCCAACGGATAGAACTCGTAGGCCACAGCGATGGAAAAAACGCGCGCCAGGATGAAGAAGAACCACCAGAGGAAGGACAGGAACTTTCCCATTGGATCGTCCTCCTCGAGACCCTTCTTGGAATACTTTCGTTTAGGAACTTTCAAGCTCCGCTCGCTGCTATCTGCCAGTCTTTGGTCCGACTCGATAGTCGCTGCCTTTGTCGCCTCTTCCTCGGTGTAAACAGAATCTGGACGTGGTGGCGCCGGTATGTCCGGCACTGGGAGCGGTGTGACCGTCGTTATGCCGCGAAGAGGTGTCGGTGGCGGTGTCACGTGTGCGTTTTTCGGTGGTAACGGTGGAGTCATGGAGATCTGACGGTCCAGCAAAGCCGCTTGCGATTGTATCTGGTGCTCTTGCTCGTTCTCGGTCACCGTATTTTCTTCCGGCGCCGTTGATTTGACTGGAGCATTCACCGTGTCTTCTTGCTTCTTTGCAGGTAAAGGTAACGTTTGTAGTGGCACCTTTTCCTCGATATTATTAATTTCCTAATTAACATTGATTATACTTGTTATATATTCCAAGATATATTTTTTCTAAGTAATATCAAATAAACGTATAATTCGTACAATCGTATGATTGAAATTGCTTGTGTGTGAAATATTTTTATAATAATTGTTAAGTTGAATCAGATACCTGAATGCAATATTTCTTCAACCACATTGCCCATGGTAATTTCCTGCCATTTACACGCTGGCTCTCAAATCTTTGAAAAGAAGCTGTCTTTATGGCCACTATTATAATGGACATAATAATGCAGAGCACCTGTACCGTTACTGTAAAACATTGTGTCATTATTGTCTAAAGTAATAAGTTATATTACAGCATATCACATACATACATTATAAAAATATATTACTTCTTGAATATAAAGAAGAAATATTAAAAAAATAATTTTCTATTGTACTTGATTGATAACTGCGGGGCACAGAGCTCTCTCTGAAGAGAAGATGCGTCTGAAAGACTGCCTGCGGAGCGGCTTGAAACCATGCCTGCAGGAAGAAGTACAATTCGATGGCCGCAGGTACTGCAGCGATATTTAACGTCTTGAGTCTCTCGTCTCCGGATAAATTTATAGCATCCACGGATAGCACAATGAGTCCAGCAAATCTGTAAAAATGTATGAATTTTGTACACACGACCGTTTATTACTATTTAAACTCCATGTGAAGTAAATAAAATATATAAGTAAATTATAATAATTTTTAATTAAAGCAAATAATGATGGAAAATAAACAATACCTATATAATACGAAGAACACGAATCCTATGAACTGACACATTTGAAGGGCGAACCAGCCTACAATTCCTTTCGATATTTTATCATCTTCCGTCATCCACCAATCGGGCCTCGAAACTGTCAGTATAAAGTACATGAGTGCCGGTAAATAGATAATTGCAACGGTGCATATCCCCCATAGTGGGTTTTCCTCCTTAAAGTGTTGAATAGCTACCACCAAGTCCGCAGCAAAATGAATAATATATACGAAGCAATTGATTAAAGTCGGTATGAGGAATATTAAATATATCTGCTCAGTCGACTTCAGTGGGATTTTCATATAATGTGTAGATTTTCTGCGGCAAAGTGTATTTGCCACAGTATTTACAGAATATATCTCTTTTGCCATTTTCTTAGAGCTAACAAGTCTGTGTCATATTTCTATACATATCACATATGTTCTTTTAATAAATATTGATCAAGTTTTTCCGTTGTCCTACAAAAGAAAGAATACAATCAGTAAAAGAAAATAAGGCATAAGGATGTGTTATTATTTAATCTAACTTGATAAAACAATTTATGAATAATGAAAGATTTATAAACAATATATTGTTTATTACTACAACAAAGACATAATTCCAGAATTATGATGCTTGTAGAAAAAAAATAAAAACAGGGAAAAAAGAAAAAATTTTAAATCCTCTACAATCAAGTCACTGCATAAAAATTATATTATAAAATTAACATTATAAAATTTTAATGAGTTAAAACACCACTTTCTGGAAAACTTTGTTTATTACCATTGCGTAACAAATGAGCGATATGAAAAAATACAGACTAAATGAAAAAGACCGTTAATTTAACACTGTAATTTATTTAATATTAAAGAATAATGCAGTGACAGAGAAAAGAGGATATATTTAAAAAGTTTATAATTTATTCAAGTTTACCTAAAATAGACATGGATAAAAATCTTGATGTTCCCAAGTCTCTCTCAGGACCGAGCGAATCATGTCAACGATAAGATTACATTACTTCAGTCTTCAACAGGTAGCCCAGATCATGCTCCTCAATTTTTCGTCAAGTGCATTTGTATCATAGGTACCATCACTCCTTCGAAGCAGAACGAACGGAAATTCCACTCTCGGCAAGGAAAATACACAATCGCGCGGCCGTCACGAGATTATAGACATTTACGGGAGAAAAAGATGAACGGTGTTACATACACCGTACGTATCAGAACGATCGATTAGTCAGCGCGTACAAATGGGAAAGATAACTCGATAAGCTCCCATTTTGCCAGGTGGTGATAAAGCGTTCCCGGTTTCCGGATATCGATATCATGTCGCCAATATGAACAGGTTATGGCCACCTCTTTTTTTTTTTCCTTTTGTACGGACGCGCGACTGCGTTTGCGCACGTGTTGAAAACGTTCTGCGAGAACGCCACAACATTCGAGAGGCAATTTGCATTTTACATGCCTCGTTGTGACGTCACACGCATCGAGGAGAGATCAATTTCACTGTCCTAGTGAAAATTTTTTCTCAGAATTTTTCATATAATTTTTCAGAATTTCTATATAATTTTATAACTTCCTCACATTTTTTTATATGAATTGGAACATTTCTCAGGAAATCTACATCTTTTCTCAGAATTTTTCATATATGTTATAAAATATCGTAAGATTTTTATGATTTTTTTGTAAGTATAATTTTTGATGAAATATTTTAAAATCTAAAAAATTTTAAATATTTTTTTAAAATTGTGAAATGAGAAATTTCAGAATTCACTTGAAAAATTCGGAGAAAAGATGTAAATTTTTCAAATATTTCGGAGTATTTCTGAAAAATGTTCCAATTCGTATAAAAATTATAAGCAAAATTTTCACGAGGATGAGTCTAAAGGATCATTTATATTGACTTATATTGGCCATAATCTGTTTACTTATGCCGTAATCTGTAAGAATTGACCAATCATAGTCAATTATTCTCCTCTTATTCGACTGTGATTGGTTAATGCAGATTATGAAATAATTAAATTATTAATAGAATACTTAAATAATCCTTAATAAGGAAACTTATGGAAGTTCCCTTCCGATTTTGATGAGCTTTGAAATCACGGTATAATTAGACAAATTGTTGTATTGCGCACGTACGATGTCTAATTCCATCAAGCTTTGAATATGTATTCTAGACAAAAAATAAGGCGAATATATTGACTCCAAGAAAGCAGTTTTACAAAATGTTGTAAAATTCTTTCGAAACGAGTGATTTTTGCCATTGGTTCCTTATGGATTTAAGTGTATAAATCAATTATATTGAAGAATTTAAAAACAATTGCAAAGCAGTTGCTGCTTTTTCTGCTAAATATTTATTCAGCCATTATTTAATAAATACTCAATCGCTGCATTTAGGGAGTATAATAGTCGTTTGAAGAAAATCTTAATTTTTTTTCGTTTCAAAGCGAATACCATCGAACTGTAAGAGATAGAAAAAAATGTTCTGAATAAAAGTTGAATAATTAAAAATATTTCATAATAATTTTTAAAAATTTGTTTAAATAAAAACAATTATTTATAAAAAATAAAAATAAATTTTTTTTTTTAATTATAATTACCGAGTAATCTTGAAACCATTAAACTTCGGATGACCAATATTCGAACTGAAGCTGATTTTCATCTACCTCGGCCAAGCGATTTTTCAAGATTGATCGTCTTTATTCAGCACATTGTAAGTATAAAGGCAAAAGATTTACATATACTTATTATCATCAACTGCTGTACACGAAAACACATATTTATATGGCCGGTAATCATAGTCAAATCTTATATTTTAGACCGTTTTAAGTACAATTCTTAGATAGCATAAACTAATCAGAGGCCGATATTCATAATTGCTTCTTATTTTAAGATCGTTTTAAGTAATATCTTAAATTACTAATGTGCGCGACTGTCTGTGTGAGAGAGAGAGAGAGAGAGAGAGAGAGAGAGAGAGAGAGATTAGTCATGACATAAGATTACACTGAAAATAACCTTAAGTATAAGAATCGACTATGAATACTGGTCAAGAGAGCCGCATTAATTAACATCTTAAAACAAAAAAGAAGCAAAAACGAATATCGGCCTATAAGTTACTTTTCTTAACCCTTTACGCAAAATAAAACAATTTATTTCTCTTCTCATATCAGTATATTATTACGATTCATTTTATATAAAACGAAATACTACCACTTTTCTAAAAATGATATTCATTCTATGTACGTACATTTTACAAAAAAGAAAGTTTAGACCAGAAGAGAATCGAACCCGCGACGTCCACCTTATTAATCAAATGTATTGCGATGCTCTGACCAACTGAGCTAATGGTCCTCGACGATTATGTATCTTTTCGACAGTGTTTTCAGTATAAGTTTAAGCATTATTTACAAAAATAAGAGAATCGTCCTACGTGAATATTTTGCCAAAAGGAAATAGCTTGGATCATGTAGGAATCAAACGCGCTGCTTTAGCTGTAAAAAGTACCACTCCCTGACCAGCTAATGTCTTCATCGATACGATCGAACGTTTTTCATTTAGTGACATAAATAATATAAATAAAATCGTCTCTTTCTCGGCATTCCATGAGTACAGATTTATGATATTAGAAACGATTCGGAACTTTGGACAAAAAAAGAATTAGCAAATCGTATTTGGACAATTCGTTCACATCTCCCATGCGATTGATGAATTCTTTCTTTGTTCGAGATCTCGGATTTCTAGCATAAAGGCTTACCGAAGATAGACCAATATTTATGTTAATCTGTTATTAAATAAAAAAGTACATCTTTCCCACAGTGTTTTTAGCTCTTGACTACATTTCGAAAATAACGATTTAATGAGCGTTTGCTGTTGCTATTGATATATTCTAGGTTTATTGTATGGATTTAAAGGTATTCCAATCATAAGCAGCAACTGAACACTCACAGTGTTTTCTGAATATAATGTATTCTGAGTATAACTTTATACTGCCAAAATAATTTTAAAAAAGAAAATTTTTTTATATTACAAAAAACAGAAAAAAAAACACAAGACGATTTATATAAATTGAAAAATTTTATTGAAAAAAAAAAAACGAGATAATTTTATTGACAAAGTAGCACTTTATTCATATGAAAAAGTAATACAACGTTAGGGCCTGTGCTTTTAACTTCTTTGAATTATTCAAAGCGTACGCATAGGAGACAATTTGAAGGCCTTCGTCCTTTAGACTTTATGTCTGTGTATGTGTATGGTGCTCTACTTAAAACTTTTAGATAACATCTCTCTTTTATTGCATATGTACTACTTATTAAGATATCTGATTTCTTCGCAAAAATCATTGTCATCCTTTTTTATATATGCGTTCTTGTTATAGTTTTATTTTGTCACCTGTTACATAAAATAACGTACGTTACCAAGCCATTTTGTATTTTGCGTCTGGTAAAATATATCGTGTATATTCTCTGCATTTATCAGCGATTAATATCTCTTTCAAATACCGTTAACATCCAAATTCGCAACCCGATATATATATATATATATAATATATTCATATTTGAATATTTATCCGGGTTGCGGTTTTGAAGCTTCTTAATTTGAGAACTTAGTGCTACCTTAATCTTAAAGATATTAAATTTATCCTTAATCTTGCTAGTACAAGAAAAGTTGATGAATCGATTTTGAACCTCTTTAAAATCTGCAGTTTAGCTTTACAAGCCATTAAAATAAAAAAAAAACAAGAAAAAAAATGAACTCTCTCTATAAGATACAATCATTTAGAATAAAACACGATGTGGGATTCGCTATTTGCCAAAAACTACAAATCGATTATTAAATCGTAAGAGCCGTCTTATTGTGGTGGCTTACAATCCACATAATAGTTTGGCTTTCTAATTTTGTAATTTAATCAAGATTTTAGTACTATTTAAAACAAAATTTTGTGTGTGGAAGAATACAAAGATAAGTATTGAACTTTTGTTGTCTGTAGTCTGTAGTGACTGTAGTGCACATAAAAGTGCTGTTAAGAGTGTATGCGTGCTATTTTCCAAATATATGCACGTATATATATATGTATATATAATTGAGGAGACAAATGTGGGACACCCTTGGATCTTTTTTCTTTACCAAAGCTCGCCATCCTTTTCCTTAGCCGGAACTTCAATTACTCGTGGCTTGTCGATTATTCTGGCTGTACGAAGGCCTTTTTCCACGATGCCGATAATCCATGCTTGATATCCTTCTTGTTTCTCGATGTCTTTACAATACGCCGCAGCCTGCAAAACACAATTCACAGTCTAAAAAATCGTATCAACTTTATATTCAAAAATTACATCTAACTGCTATCTATCGATTAGATTCGTAGGCAAGACTTTTGTAAGATTCAATTATCTATCCAAATTAATATATAATAAATATAAGTGTATAGTTGTAGAAGAGCTAAATGACTAAATATATACGAACAATAAATAGTATTTAAAACTCTTCTATTTTTCTACCTGCCATTCTTTAGAACATCTCACTAATACAAGATATTCTACTGTATTGACAGGGAAAGCGATAAACATCCTTGATGGAAAAATTTCGCTAAAATTATTTCACGTTTTGGAACACTTTTCAGCAAAATTTCAGCATTTTAGAAAAATTTTAGTTCAATTTCAGCAATTTCGCTAAAACATTCCAAGACGTGAAATAATTTCAGCGAAATTTTTTTACTATATAAGCGAAAAAAATGAACTAATCGGAAATCATATTTTTCATTTATTATAACAAACGCCCTTAAGCGTGTTATACAGAACTTATATTAATATTTGTTCGATCGCCTGAGGCCCAGTTTTACAACTTATGTATTAACTCTTAACCAAGGTTTAACTTATTCTTCATCTCTTTCTAATGCTAGAATTGGAAAGAGATGAGAAATAAATTGAATCTCGATTAAGGGCAGCCGCACACAAAATTCCGCAACAATGACCGTAAGACGTAAACTTAAGCCAATCAAAATATTGCTTTAGGTCTACGTAATTTAACGGAAATGAAAATAACAGTCAATTAGGTGAACTCACAATTAGGTGAATTTCAACCGGTTGAAAAACTCGCCTTATGGATAAATTTACTATTATTTCTATTTCCGTTAGAATATATAGATCTAAAGCAGTATCTTGATTGGCTCATCGGCTTAGTTCACATCTTATCTTAAGATTACTGTTAAAAATTTTGTGTGCGGCAGCCCTATGCATTAACCGTGAGTTGTGAAATTGAGCCTAAATGTATCTAATGACGCTACGCTTATAAATTTAACAGTTATATGATATATTTAACAGTAATATGATTTAATGAATAAGTTAATAACCTGTTCTCGAGGAAGGCAAATGAGCAGACCGCCACTAGTTTCAGCAGAGTGACCCTGCAATAGCTGGAACATGTTTCCACACGCCTTTGCTACTGCAGCCATTTTCGAAATAACAGGCAGATTATGGATAACAAAGG